CAAGTCTTGTAATTTTCAGTTTCAATCCAAGCGCCCTAGTGGCCAAGCTGCCCTCTGGGCTTACCCCAAATCTGAGATCCATTTTGTTCGTGTCTGGGCAACAAAAATAATCTGATTACTGTTTCAGAGCATTAGTGTGACTTTGTGAGAATGCTGCTATGAGTCATACTGCCATCTGGTGAGCGGTAGAGTGCCACACTAGGTAATATATGCATTCATGTTTGGTCTGGGTAGTGGGGAATCGGTTTAGCAGATTTGAAGCCTTGATTATGCTTGGGCATCATGTTGAGTTGTTTTTTTTGTTACGTAAAGAGTGCAGGGAAGGGAGGAAAGTAGTGGATTGTTCAAAGTTTTATTTGTAAGCATGAACTTGTTTGTATCAGTTGATTGCTCTATATGGAAGGCCTTATCTGTTATGTTGATATTTTAGCATTTTAACACTTAGCTTCAGGAAAAGCATGCACTCATTGTTTGAATTTTATGGTGAAATATTCTCTTTGAAAATTTACATTGATTAAAGAGTGAGCCATTGTACTGCTGGTCTGCTGCTAATGATGTCAAACTGTTCAGACATTTGTTGGAACTCCCTTTTGGATGGCACCTGAGGTTATTCAAAATTCTGAAGGGTACAATGAGAAGGTACTTGTACATTTGCTAAACAAATTTATTAGTATTGAGCTTTTATAGACAAGACTGTGTTTCAGTGCAGGCAGATATCTGGTCTTTAGGTATCACTGCTATTGAAATGGCTAAAGGTGAACCCCCTTTGGCAGATATTCATCCCATGAGAGTTCTTTTCATGATACCTCGTGAAAATCCTCCGCAGGTAATTTGATTAATTTTCAGTAACTTACCAAAAGTACCAGTATGCATTTCTATGCAAGAAGATAAATGATTTGTATTAATATGCAGCTTGATGAGCATTTCTCGAAACCAATGAAAGAGTTTGTGTCACTATGTTTAAAGAAGAATCCAGCGGAGGTAAAATTATTATTATTATTATTGGAACTCAAGGCAAGAGCACTGCCGTTTCAATTAGAAATTACTCATATTGAGGGAAACAGGAAAAACTGTACATCATTCAGTTAAGTAGGGAAAACTGGCAACTAGGTAAAAAGCTCACTGTGTGCAAACCTTCTAGCTAAACTAGGTCTTGGATCACTGCCAAACGACCTAAACCACAACACCTGCCCAACTACCTAGCTTAATTAGGCCTGATTATGGCCTTCGCATATATGTTCTAAAACAGAATTTTTATATGTAGGCTTGAATGACATTGAAGTTTGTTGTTCTGCCTTACTTTTGCTTAATGCTCTATTGCTCTCTTTCACTTTCTCGCAGAGGCCTAGTGCCAAGGAGCTTCTTAAGCATCGTTTCATAAAAAATGCCCGAAAGACTCCAAAGCTTTTGGAGCGAATAAGGTTTGGGTTATTCTTTCTTCTCAGTGAAAATTGAGTAAATGGTGCACTTGAATGTTTATCTCATTCACTCTGTGTGCTTTCTATTACTGTTATTGGTTAGAGAGCGGCCAAGATTTGCAGGAAAAAGCATGGATGACACACAAAATGGGCAAACACATGATGAAGAAGAGGATTTTGGTACAGGCAGTATCAAGGTCAATAGGACAAAAGATATAGCTCCGTCTTTGAGGTATATTAAGTCAACATTAAGCAAACTTTGGTCTGTCTTCACATACCTGATTCTTTTTTTCCTATTGTAGTCAAGGAACAGTTAGGAAAGCTACAGTCAGGGATTTTCCTGATAGATCAGAGGGCACAGGAACTGTCCGAGTTGTTACAAGGCTTCCTCAAATCGCCTCCACCAAGGATGGTAGATCTGACATTCCTCAAAGTCCAAAAGCACCAATACGTACAACTGATCGAGAAAATCAGTGGAAGTCATCATGGACTGGATCTGAAGATTCTCTCTCTCAGAGAGATACTCAGAGCGAACGTGGGAGAGTAGAAAGTTCTACTGATGATGTAATATTTTGGCATTTGACATGCAACTTGGTTAAATCGTGATGATTTCACTAACTATAATTCTTTGCCAGAATGATCAGTCTGTAAGTGGGTCTGGAACTGTTGTGTTACGCTCACCAAGAGCATCGCAGTTGTACTCAACAGCTAGCAACCACAGTGCCAAGGTAACTTACAAACATCATTTTTTCTATTTTTAAGATTGACAACCTTACTGTCTATGTAAGACAGGACAAGGATAGAAGTGAGCAGCAGCAGCTGACACATCTTACTTGTTAGCCTCCCAGCAGATTCTCCTCATATGAAGATATGTCTAATAGTGGGACAGTTATTCGGACCCAAAATGAAGACCCAGAAACTCCACGATCTTCAAGGTCAAGGCTGGGGATGCAAGAAAAGGCATCAAATACTTCTCTTGAGGATAGTGCCATTAACCTTGCAGAGGTGATGCACATTAACAATTTTGTTGGCAATTTTTTGTTTGTGGTTATTAATCAATGCATAGTTATTATGTACATGGTGGTAAATGCAGGCAAAGGCTGCTTTGCAGGCTGGGTTAAGAAAGGGAAATGCTCGAGAAAGACCTATTATCAACAGGCATGAAAAGGGATCACATGAGCATAGATCTTCTGGAGTAAATAGTCAAGAGGTTCAAAGGTATTTCAAGCTTACCTTTACCCGTGTTTAATTTCATTGATAGAAACATTCTGCCCTTATTATTGAAGTTTTCTTTAACCAAAGTGTGTTCTTTATCCTAGTGAGGATGTAGACACACAGAAAGGTCGCAAATTACGGCAATTATCTGATGGGCAGTCAGCTTCTCGTGCTTCTAGTTCTGTAGCTCCACCTGCAGTCTCATCATTGCTACTCCCTTCCCTGAAAGAGGTAAAGTAACATGGCTTTTGGATTTTTTTTTTCTGTTTTTATTAAATCATACAATTTTTTCATGTTTATTTTAATTTGACCCCTTCATATTTTCCCTCTCTAAGAAACTGTTTCAATATTTTGAGATACCAATATACCATGAGAGTGCTTTAGTGTTCATTCAGTACCAGTCAATCTTTTGCTTTCTTTGCATCCCTCTGGACATGTCTTCTAACTTTTGGACATTATTGCTTTCATGCTGTAGGCTACTGGTGACAAGTTTGATCGGCCTGCTGTTCATGCTTTCCTTGATTCCTTGATGGATCTAGAACACGAAATACCTGGATCATGCGAAGTACTGGTTGGCAGATTGCTACACCAGCTAGGGAGGTGCGGCCATCACTATGCTCTCACGATCTTACGATAGAGATTGACCTTTTTTTTCTCGAAAACGCAGGAGAGCTGCGCTTCATTATATTAAGAAGAGAGTAAAGGGCAAGAGCCCAAACAACACCACAAACACACACGCGCGCACTCACACCCCACCAGTTTCCAGAATCGATAGAGATTGACCTTGTGCAGTTATCTCACCTCATAATGACTCGTCATACCTTCCCTGCAGCTCAAAGGATTCCTCATTGCAAGGTCTTCAGGAGACGGCGATGTCAATTTTCACTAAGAAACCTGAACCTCCCTCTGAAAAAGCAGGCGACAAGAAATTAGCTAATATGCCACCATTGGCTGCTCCTACCGTTAGCCCGCTGGCAAGGTTCCTTCTCACAAGGTTGGTGCACAGTTACATATTTTTCAGCTTGCTTAGTAATACCCATGATAAGTAACAAGTTTCTGCCAACATTGCAGGTGGCAAAACCAAGTTTCGCAAGATCTTAACTCTGTTTGATCCCTGTGACTCAGAAAAGAGATTTCATGTTTGATTCGGTGTATAATTAATATTTTTTAGTGTACATAACGCAATCTTTAGAACTTTATTTCAGCCAGATGCCCCAACCACCTGTTATTTCATTTGTTGTGTTCATGGTGAATAACATATTTCCTGCCCCTTTTCCGGTGTAACTGCCACCACCATACATGTATGACATCTCATGAACATTGTAGACATATCCAAAATTTACCAGTTGACAATACTTGAAGCTTGGTGAATTGTTTTGCCAGAGTTCAGTTATATTCTGTTTCTTTGTACTTCAAAGCTTTAAATGACAGGCAAGAACATTCTATCTGTGCAAAATATAATCAGGGGAACATCACTGCAATTGTGCACGCAACTCTTGGTGAAGCTTGAACGATATGGAGGTCAACCTAATTTGTTGGCACTAATCATGTTGATCGCCAGCTGCTATTCAGTATACGGTCCTACCTCGTTGATTACTGGGTATATGTAGAACAAGTACTACTTGGTACCTAATATAAGTACAAGGCTGGTTGCTCTGCTATTCTTGCCTCATGTCAGTTTCAGGGCCAACACTTCTATTTAACGTGGACGTTCTGTGCTAACGTGAAGCAGCTTGTTCGTTTGCTCGTAAACGATCGTAAATTTTCAGTCGGGAACCGTGTTTTTTTTTCACATCAAACTAGTCAGCAGTAAATAATCCACGATACGATACGGCCTCTCGAACAGGCTGTTTGGCAAAGCATCACAGGACAGAGCGGCCGATGTGTTGTCACTTGTCAGACGCGCGGCTGGACGGTGGCTTGACGACTTGACATCTTCGACACATCCTAGGCCTCTACTTCTGCGTCCCCAATTCCGGGCGACCTGACCTCTCCGTGATCTGCCAGCAAATCTATGTCCCAGTACCGTTAGCCCCGGGGCCCACCCCCAGCCTCGCCCGGGAAATAGCCGTTGCGCGAAGGGCGCGTGCGGCGTGAGCCCACGGCCCACACCCACCCACCAGGGCAACTCCTCTATGAAGCCTGGCACAGAGTTCAAACCTTCCGACCGTTGGAGACCCCTACCCCTATGCCCACCCCCAGCGTTCTTCTCCCAATCGGCTCCACCTGATCCATCCCCCGCCGACGTTTCCTTCTTCTCTCATTCACTCCTCACCGCTTCAGGAGGCCGCCGCATAGTTAGAGAGAGAGAGAGAGCCTCCTAGCGTCTGATCCCCAAGCCCTAGGCGTAGGATTCCACGTCCACCGATGGCGCTGGACACAGGGACGGTGGCGGCGGCGGCGGGGATCGACGAGGCGTACGAGTTCTCCGCGCCCAGGTTCTTCGACTTCATCACCGAGGAAACGGAGGAGGGCGTACACGCCGCCGAGAGCTGGTTCGAGGCCGCCCGCAGCCACGCTCCCTCGCGTACGTACCCGCGCGCCGCCGAGGCCTTCTTCCTCGTCGATCGCCCTCCCTCCCTCCCAGTTCCGCTCCGCCTCCGCTTCAACCCTGATTTCCCTCGCCGATTTTTTCCTGATTTTTTTTCCTATTCCCGATTCCAGCGTTCAACCACAGGATCAAGGAATCGAGGGCGGAGGCCAAGGTCGCGGTCCTCTGCGATTTCGCGGAAGCCGAGGAGCTGGCTCCAGAGGTAAATAAACGGAAGGGGATTGCTCTAGTTCCTAGTTCCGTCATGATTTTGGCTCTTCCGCCCCGTTCGTCTCGTCTGGCGATTTATACATTTGTATTTGTAAATTGTGCAGAAGGTGCCCGTGGAGGCGGTAGCAGGAAGCGTCACAGTTCACGGAGCAGTGGCTATTGATGGGTAAGCACCGGACACATCCCCTACTGAAATTCATCTGGGTTCATCATGTTGGCAAGTTAGGCAAGTTTGTGTGCCATATGTTTTGTCCAGTGCTCCATGTCCTGAGGCAATGTCGGAATCGCCGCCAGCTGATGAAATATCGGGGTCACCTCCGACTCAAGAAGAGAAAGATGAATCGCCCCAATCTTTCGAGTTCTTCACAGCTCCGACTCAAGAAGAGAAATATGAATCGCCCCAATCTCTCGAGTTCTTCACGGCGACGGACCAGTATGTAAAATGTGAGTTGCTATTTGCTACCTCTGTTATTTGATTACTTCGGGTGGAAAATTGTGGTGTCTTAGTTCTGACTTCGACACTGCCATGACTTTAGCAGCAGATGGTGGTGCTGCCAGCACGCCCAAGATGCAGACGCGTCCTCCTTCCCCTCCTATCAAAGTTGCCCCTGCGATTTCGACATGTGACAGTTCTTCAGTGAATACTGGGGCGCGCACGCCGAAGATGGAGGCAAACATGCGCAGAGCAGGTCCTATAGCTGCTTCGATGGGTGCCAAGAGGAACGTGATCAAGTAAGATTCAAGCTCATCTGTGCATATTGAAAAATCTTGAGATTGTTTCCGTTGTCTGAGTTGTTGGCTTTTCAGGGGTGGTCGAGATTTGGGGACTGGAAAGGCAGCCAGTGCTGGGGCTGAAATTGCACAGGAGAACCAAGCGGTGAAGAGGCAGAAACTTGATGATGGAAGAGCCAGACAGGTAAGGGAATGAGAATAGAGACAAACTTGTAGATTCATGTCACTGTTGTGTTGTAATTATTCCTTTTTGTTGCTCTTGTGCTCAGATACTGAATGTCAAGACTAAGGTGCTGCCTCATAAGGGAAGAGCTGATTTAGCTGGAAGCAATGAAGTGAGGAGGTCCCATGAGGATATGTGCTCTGTGAAGGTAAAAATTCCTCTCCTGCTACTAAGTATTCCAGTTTAGTGGGGATTGGATAGAGATAAAATTGAAGATGAAGTGTTACTGATATGAATCCTGTGGCATTTTTAGGAAGCAACTCCATATGTATCAGCTGCAGAATTGGTTAAGAAGTTTGAATCAGGGACCAGAAAGCTGAGCATTACTCACAGCAGATCTCGTTCTCATGTAAGTATTAATTTCCCATGTCTGTTGTACATTAGCTTGTCATATTACATTATTGCAACTCCATTTCACCGCTCACGTGCCTACTAGGATTACCAACATGCGTATATTTATTACAACTGGAATACTGAATCAGGAAAACAGTCTTGAATCTTGATAAATAATTAAGTGGCTTGACATCCAAATTGCTTATGCGTTATGCAGGAGGATGCTGCATTACAGGGAAGGCCTAAGCTGCTTATGTTAACTAGACCGAAGGAGCCTGAGTTTCAAACTTCCCACAGAGTCCGAGCAGTCAAAGTGAAGAGCTCTGCAGAGCTAGAGGAGGAAATGTTGGCAAAGATCCCCAAGTTCAGGGCACGGCCATTCAACAAAAAGGTAAGAATTTGCTTACATGAAAGAAGACTGTCTTACTTTAACTGCCTGCTAACTAGTTGCTGCCTTTTTCCTTAAGATTGCTGAAGCCCCTTCGTTTCCTCCACTTCCAAGGAAAACCCCACAGGTCCCCGAATTTAATGTGCGTATTCTATCATAGTGGCAAATTCATGAATGAAAGGCTCTTTTCATTGATTAATTCATTTGTTCCTTTGCGTCAACTACAGGAGTTCCATCTTAAAACAATGGAGAGAGCAACTCGATATGCGGACACATGTTCAGAAGTTTCTTGTGCAGAGACTATCCGTGTAAGTTCCTAGTTGCCTAGCTGCTGCATCTTAGGATGCTAGTTGTTATTAATTTTTTAGCTACAAAGTTCAATGTTTCAATCTTGCAGTCTCAAAATAAGCCACTGAAATTGACACAACCAAAGCCACCACGACTTCATACAGCAAAGAGAGTTCGGCCACCAAGGTTTGCTTTTGCCACACAAAATTGATGAACTGAAATCATTTTAACAGGCATCAGTCTTTTTTTTTAATGCTAAATTCTAACATCATCTTTCAACAGTGTGAAAAGTTCTCAGGAACTTGAACTGGAGGAGCTGGAGAAGGCCCCCAAGTTCAAGGCCAGGCCACTAAACAAAAAGGTACTAACACTTGTCATAGATGAACAAAAATTGATTAGATTATGAGTTGGAGCTTCAGTTTTGGGCTCCATGTCATGCAGATTCTTGAGAGTAAGGGAGACATTGGTGTGCTTGCCCATCCAAAGTCTCAGGTCACAGCTCCCAAGGAGTTCCATTTCTCTACCGATGTTCGCTTGGGCCCTCCATCAGTTGCTGACTTATTTGACAAGGTATTTATCGGCAGCCATATGGTAGTATAACCACTATATTGTTTTTTGGTCAAGATCTTATTAAGCACTTTCCTATTTTTGCAGCTCTCTCTTCACTCTGAATGTTCTTCAAACAGCAACAGGCAAGATGTGCCCAGACTCACCATACCAAACCCTTTCAATCTACAAACAGAGGTTCGTGAGATGTGAATTTTTTCGAGTCACAGCATTCTCATCATGTGTGCGCAAACAGAATAATTATGCATCCCTGGTTGCAGGAAAGAGGTCATTTAAAAGAGAGGCAGCTAGAAGCACAGCTCTTGCAAAAGAAGATGGAGGAGGAAAAGGCCAGGGTTCACAAAGCTAATCCTTATCCATACACCACAGACTATCCGATGGTATGTGAAAATTTTACTCTGAACATTTTCAGTTGGCACCATTTCTTGATTCGTCCTGTCTAACACAATCCTTGTTCAGATTCCGCTGAAGCCTGAACCGAAGCCCTGTACAAGACCAGAAGGCTTTCAACTAGAGAGTTTGGTGAGACATGAACTAGAGCAGCAAAGGCTGATGGAAGAACGACAGAGAATGGAGAGGGAAGAAGCTCAGAGGAGAATCGTCAAAGCTCAACCTGTATTGAAAGAGTGAGTAAAACACATGCAGCATTTCCCTTAAGAATTTTCGTCCCTTTTTCATGAGCGAGATATATAAAACAGCCTTTTGTAATATTGTCACAGGGATCCTATCCCACTTCCGGAGAAAGAGCGGAAACCTCTTACTGAAGTTCAACAATTTGTGTTGCATATTGATGAGAGGGCAGTGCAGAGATCAGAATTTGATAGCATGGTCAGTAAACTTCCGCTTTTCATTGGTACTCGCTAAGAGCATGCTGTACGTTTGGTTGACACCTACCTATGGAAGATATATAAAAATGTTCATTTATTTTGTGTGGGATGCAGATAAAAGAGAAAGAAAAGACTTACAAAAGGTTGAGAGAGGAGAACGAATTCGCGCAAAAGGTACAGATATCTTCCCTGCTCCTTAAATGCATGCTCCGCTCCAACTGTTGCACGCATTCTTTTTACCTGCTCCTCTTGCTGATCGACCGACGCAATCTCTGTGTCTGAAGATTGAGGAGGAGAAGGCACTGAAGCAGCTGAGGAGAACCATGGTGCCACATGCCCGGCCGCTCCCCAAGTTTGACCGACCATTCCGACCACAGAAGTGAGTACAGCAAAACTTTCTCTTCCCAACGTGTCCAGCCTCTCGATCTCACAAACTGGCGATTTCTGTCCTCACAGATCGACGAAGCAGGTGACGAGACCAAAGTCTCCACAGCTCCAGGTGGATGAGCGAGGGGCGAGGAGGCACGCTCTCATCAGATGATCGCCATCCTCTCCCGTCCAGATCTCTCTCCGCCGCTGTACTACACTGATGGATTGTGTAACTTGTCATTTTCTTTGCTTTGGGCGGTCAAGATCATTCCCGATCTTGCCTTCGATCTGTTTGTCGGGCCTTCGATCTGTTTGTCGGGGTTACTAGGATTCTTTCTCTGCTGACCCATATGTAGTGTAGAGCAGGCCAGGCCTCTAATAACAGCAATCTTTGTCAGTCGGCGATTGCCGCTAGTGTGTGTAGGTTGGTGTTGTGTGTTTCAGTGACTCAGTGTGTGTTTGTGTATTATGGTTATCTCGATTATGACACTTGTTAATCCGATGATACCTTCATATACCTCGTGTTGATTCTTCGGACCCGTCTGGAACAAGCGCTCCTACTTGTGTGTGGGCGGTGGTAGGCCCTTGCTTCTATGGATGGAGCCATCCAAGAGATTCGTTCTCCCGCTGGCATGGAACGCACGGACTCGGAACAAATTGTCACTCTGACCTGAACAAAGCGCCGCCAATGTGGTTTTGCATACGGAGACGCACACGCACGGCCTCTCTCTCTCTCTCTCTCTCCGAATACGCACGCATACAGAAAATTCCACCTAGCTTGTCCAATTGTCCGCTGGTAGCGTGCCGTGCGCACGCGTTTTTTCTTTCTTTCATTCAAAGAGCTTGACCAGGTCGAGTAGGCCAGGTACAGATTCACGGTGTGAGTTCTGAGCTTCGAAACACATCATTCTTTAGGCAAGGGTCGAGTTACGCAAGGGTTGACGCGTACTAGTTTAAAATTCGTATATTCTTTACGGGCTTACGGCTTCCCCAATGATGCTCGCGAGTTGAAGTCTGAACAGATCATCCTTGACCACAAAGCCGGCCACGAGTGCTATTTATTACGGTATCACCAGTTCCTTGAGATGGGACGGTCCATCAGACTGTTTGTTTCGGCTGAATTGGTTTATAAGCCATGGCTGAAAGTACTGCTGGCTGGTTTAGTGTGAGAGAAAAACACTGTTCAAGTTATGGATTATAAGCTAGATACGAGCGAATAAGCCGAAACGAACAGGTTACATATCTTTCCTTTTCGTCAATAATTGGTCTCTTAAATGTTTCTTCTGTAACTTTGGTTGCTCGAGTTGATTAGCACCACGTGTTGACATTTGACTTGCTATCCCAAAAGCTGTTTTTTTCCTCCTCAAAAAGCACTATGCTTTTTCGTGTAAAATATATATATCCCTTTTGATTGAACGATTCATCGACCTTTTCCCCACCTTCTTATAATTTAAATATATAAGCCGTTCAATTTTCATCTCATGCCTTATAGTGAGTTGGAAAGATAAACACGACAAAATATTAGGTTGGCAAAGCAAAATGTTTTTTAACATAGGCTAATTATGATTCAACTATTTCTCAAAACACACTATAGATCTAGGCATTCACCTACTTGCACACATATTGGGATTACTCGCACATATAAATGTGCACATGCTACCCTATGAGCATATTTGGGGTCTGAACCGATAGATTTTAAGATTGAAAACAATTACCATTGACATCGAGCTTGATGAGAATATCATCTACCAAATGTCATCACCCGTGCCAAGTTAATTAAAGACTTAAATATATCGTAAGTAACATAACCCACCGAGTTATCTCAATCCAATGATTCAAGTGTCTTCTTATATCGCCGACTCCACTTAATTGTCTTTTATGTAAATTATGTGTAAACCATCAAAGCTTGAAAAATATACGTAAAAATAGTTTCCTTGAAATACATCCTAAAATATTATACAATACTCACTTATATAAATGATGTGCCCTACCCTGAATGAATGAATGCGATCCATGAAAGTTGCATAATGTCAATATTGTCATACGTACCACTATTCATTTATTGTCAATTGTCATGACCTGTGAGCGAGTACTGTCCTTTTCCTGGCGATAAGAGAAAACCCAACATGGTCGGCAACTTATACTTGCACCTCAGCCGTCTGATATGTGATCTGCAAAGAGCCTCGAGTCAAAAAGTTTATCCATGTCATGTCATAACTCAGCAACGTAACTCACTTGTTGAAGTAGCTATAGGAAACTCCCGATTTCAGATGCCAAATCGGGCACTTCATACATACATGTACATGAGTATGAGTTCCTGAATCCTGAGAGGTGCTTCTTCAGCTCCATCCCGATCTCGCTTGTCGCAGCCTCGCAGGCGATCTCTCCTGAGGGCAAGTTTGGATGCCAAAATTTTTGGCAAAACGCTATTTAGTGTTTTTGTTGTTATTTGATAATTAGTGTCCAATCATAGTCTAATTAGACTTAAAAGATTCGTCTCGTGGATTTCGTCTAAACTGTATAATTAGTTTTATTTTTTATTTATATTTAATGCTTCATATATATGTCTAAAGATTTGATGTGATAAAAAATCTTGAAAATTTTAGCATTTTAGGTGCAACTAAACCGGCGTGAGTGTTAAACACGGAAAGGGAAGGCTGAAAAAACACGGTGCGCTCTCTCTCTCTCCTGTCCCCACCTTGACACGTCCATGTCCCAATCTCCCCCCACCCCAGGTCAACCGACGCTATCCAAGATCCAGTCTCCGCTCTCCCCTCTCCTCTCGCTGGCATACACACACCAGCAGGGCCCCCGGCCCCGCCACCACCAACCCACCTCCTCCCTCAACTATAAACCTATAAAATATCATCATTGACCCGAGCTGATCCAAGAGGCGAGCAGTGATATTGATTTTTGGTGGGAGAAATCAAGGAAGGGGGGACTGAAATTCCAAGGAACCAACCCATTGCTGGTTCTGCTAGCAGGAGGTTGGATTTCAGAGCCAGAAGCTTGCAGCCAGGCGGGCTCAGGGGTCACACAGCAATGGCTGGCAAGGAAATCCTTCACAAGGTGAAGGACAAGGTAACCGGAAATGGAAGAGGATGGAGACTGTTGCTTGTTTTGCCCTATGGTTTCCTTTTCCTTGCTACTAGTAATTGATTGTCTCTCGTTTTAGCTGTATATAGCCAGTTTGGTTTATCATCATTGTTCCATAGGTTTCCTTTGGGGTGCAAAGATTTGTGGGGCTGAGAAGACGGATTGTTTGGACTGTACTGATAAATTTTGGAGCCGTGATGTTCCAGTTGGGGACTCACTGGATTCGGACACATGAAAATCTTGCTAACTGGGCGGCCCTCGATGGGACAACCTCTTCTCCAACCTCTTGGCGTGTGTTTAGGAGTCGGGGGTTGTACATATATCTTGAGTCTGTCTACTACACAATCATGTGTTTTATGCAGTTTCAACACATGAATTTTTTTTGCACTATAGAATTAAGATCCAACAGCCTCCACCCTCCTTCTACCTCTAGCCTCCAGCCTTCTTATACCTCCAGACAATCACAAATCACAGAACCACGTATCACAAGAAACAATTTTTTTTATGGAAGGACAAATCACAGATCGCAGAGGAGAAGGAGAGGCCTACCTTGCAGATCATAAAACTGGTGTGGAGGCCACGCTTGAATTTCTCTATGAAGATTGCAAGATGACAACGAGAAGTTTTGCTCTCGCACTGATGCTACGATTGTCAGAGAGCACGGACATTGTCGAGACTGCTATCAGATGCTTGCAGTCATTCACATCTTCGATGAAGCATATGGCTGAAGCTATATTTGGAGAACTCACTCGCCTTCCTCTGCAAGACATTTCTGTGTTTTTTTTTTTGTGAAAGAGAGAGGGAGGGAGAGAGAGAGAGAGAAAATCCATGTGTTTTTTTTTGTGCTAAAACACATGTGCGTTGTATAGCATTCCTGTATATCTTACTACCTGAATGGCTGGATTGATGATAAAAACATTTATTGGTAATATTTTGACATAAAAAGGAGTCCTTTTTTTGGTGGTGGTGGTGGTGGTGGTGGCGGCGTGTGTGTGGGTGGGTGGTGGGGGGTTGTCAGCAACACCATCTAGATGAGCGAAATTTGCAATCTGCATGAACCTAGCTATTTTCTCTGTCAAAGAGAAGTTTATTTTAATGCATGTGATTTCAGAACTGGTGCTCTGTCAAAAAGATGTTTATGGTGTTCTATCTGAAAGAAGTTTATCTGGAATAAAAATGCAATAGAAGCGGAAGGTATAATTTTCTTGTCAATAGAAGCGGAAGGTATAATTTTCTTGTGGTAAAGCTACAACGTCACAAAATGTCTAAATATTGGAGTTCTGGCGTATGTAATTTTAGGAGCTTGGTTAAGAGGAATTTCCCTTGTCCTGCTTATGCAATAGAGAAATGAAAGCATAGAAGAAACTAACTTTTCTCGAACTAGTTTGTATGGATTTCTTTGTGTGTCGCATTTGTTTATTCACTATTTTAATTTGGAAGACATGTGTATTAGTTTTGTAGTGGCACACCCATACTATTTAAGACATGTGCTGCTACACCTGGGATTCTGGAACAACACTTCATACGAGGTGTGCATTCATGTTAGGACCTTTATAATGTGATCTATGGTTCAACTTTGAAGTTTCATGAAATGTCATGCACAGAAGGAACTGGTCATCATGAAGAACGCATATTCGATAGAAGTCCAGTTTTTGTAGATTATATTGTTGAGCTCTTTGATGCACAATCGGACACGTTTTTCTTGGTTAACTGTGCTGTGTGCTTGTGTGTTTTGGACATGCTTATTTATGTGCTTCGTTGTGTTAAGACAATATGATTGATATGGGAGTATATGTTTTTCCAACAGGTGAAAGATGCGTTTAGTTCATCAGGACCAGAAACAGGGAAAGGCAAGACAAAGTTATCAGGCAAGCGTGTCAAGCATGGTTACCATCTGGTGAAGGGAAAATCTAATCAT